TGAACACGACGGCTGTCACTGCTGACAACAACCACACACACACACACACTTACACACCAAATTGTTGTGCACACCTGTGCTAGATCAGATCACCGGTAAGTGAGCTGTGCCAAATAACAATTTGCTGACGATCATTGAACCGCCGATCGAACATTATTGAATTGTATTTTTGTTTTTTTATTCAGGTCAAGATGAGTTTAGCGAAGCTCGTGCCGGTGGTAAGTGAAAATGAAATCTGATATGCTTGTCGTCTAAGCTACCTTTGATCTAATTAATTCTACTTTTTCACTTTCACTTCCTCCTTGCAATTCCTTGCAATTTACTAATACTCTTGCACATTACAGTCACGGCTAAAATATCTGAGTAAGTCTCGACTTTTGTAAATGTGACCAATGAAAATAAAATGTCTTTTTTTCTTCATAGCCAAAATCCGCGATATCACCATTGACGACTTTACCTTTCGTCTACACTACCGCTTTACATTCTCATTCCTCCTCATTGGAAGGTAAGCTTGCTGTTTGCTTCATTTAGGAGGTACTTTTACTGATGTTTGTTTCACCCTTTCTTCACCCCCTTCAGCATTCTCCTCACCGGTGAGCAGTTCTTCGGCAAGCCCATCCAGTGCATTCCCGGCAAGGATGTCCCCAAGCCCGTCATTGAGTCCTTTTGTTGGGTGAGTTGGCTTTTTTTTTACTCGGTAACTTTTTTTTTCAACCAAAAACACTAACCATCGAAACTCCACAGATAGAGGGAACCTTTACACTGCCAAAGGGCCTGATGAAGATCATCGGCTTCGAGATTGCCGCCCCCGGCATTGAGCAGTACAAGGAGTTCGTGGAGGAGGCGAAGATGGAGAAGGACGAGGTGATCTCCCACTCGTACTACCAGTGGGTGGGCATGGTCCTCTTCCTCCAGGCACTCTGCTTCTACGTGCCCCACATGCTGTGGAAGCTGTGGGAGAAGGGCCGCGTGCAGGGCATCATCAACGACCTCAACAAGATCATCCTCAAGGCGGAGAAGAAGGACGCCGACCAGAAGAAGCTGGTGGCGTACCTGGCGGACAACAAGGGCAAGAACAACGCCTACGCCTTTCGCTACTTTCTCTGCGAGCTGCTCAATCTGCTGAACATCATCCTGCAGATGGTCTTCGTCAATGCCTTCCTCGGCGGCGAGTTTGCCAGCTACGGCATGGACGTGTGGAAGTTTCTGGACAAGGACCCGGCGGTCCGCGTCGACCCCATGTCGAAGGTCTTCCCCAAGATGACCAAGTGCACCTTCCGCAAGTTTGGCCCCAGCGGTGATGTCCAAAAGTGAGTGTCTTTTTTAGGAAGAGATAATCCTATTTGTGGAGGGTAAACAACAATTTCGAACTCTTTGCGAACTCCTCTCCTCTTCTCAGGTACGACCACCTCTGCATGCTGCCGCTGAACATCCTCAACGAGAAGCTCTTCATCGTCTTCTGGTTCTGGTTCTACGTGGTGCTCTTCTTCAGCTTCGCCAGCGTCCTCTACCGCGTCATGGTCATCGGCTGGCCGGGCAGTCGGGAGTTCCTCCTCGCACGCATGCACAACCTCGCCGACCCGGAGAAGGTGAAGNGCTCTTCATCGTCTTCTGGTTCTGGTTCTACGTGGTGCTCTTCTTCAGCTTCGCCAGCGTCCTCTACCGCGTCATGGTCATCGGCTGGCCGGGCAGTCGGGAGTTCCTCCTCGCACGCATGCACAACCTCGCCGACCCGGAGAAGGTGAAGACGATAGTGCACTACAGCAACTACAGCGACTGGTT